TGGCCTGATGTTCCCTTTGGGCTTTTCCTGCTTGGGTGTCACCACTGTCCTCATGAAGTTCCCTTTCCACAGGGGGTTTAAGAGCATTTAATCTTGTGTTGGATTGTGGCTATAGTTTAAATTGAGTAAAAGTTCTGAAAACAGATTCTCCTTCTCTTGCACAGAGTAGACAAAAGCCTAAACCTCTTCGGAGAGAATGATTCAGACTTTGTTGTTTATCTTTAGTTCTGCCATCCCTTCTGAAATCCTTCAAGACAAAGGCCCGTCATTATTGATGGGGCTCTCTGACAAACCATAGATCCCCTTGTTCCCTGCAGTTATACTTTGCTAAAGACAATAATTTGTGTCAAATTCAAAGTTCTTTTTTGTTAGAAGTGCTGAGATAATTCATATTTTGAGGCATACCTGCAGATAATGTATAGTTTTAGTAGTAGATTTAATCGTTAATCAATACTCTTAATCTTAGGATATTCATCAATCAGTCAGATTACTATGGTTGCAGATTCTATACAAAATATTTGCTAAAATCACCAGAAAGGAAAATTCCAAGAGGCTACATAACTAAATTTTGAGACATAATATTTCATCTTGCAAAAATACAGACAGCCAGAAGATGGCAACAGCAGGTTTGAGTTTTATTTTGTAACAGCCATCTAATATTTATTTTGATTTATGCAGCCTGCGTACTGTATCCCTATCCAACCTCATTATTCTGACTGTGTTACAAAAACTGGAGACAGAACTAGATGCTTGTTGTGCTGCAAGAGGAAATCAGTTATAAACCATTTAAATATGTTACAGCTCAGGGAAGCACCAGAAGCTTTAATTTCTCAGAAATTTCACTAGGAGCACTGGGGTCATGGCAGCAATTCAGAACATGTCAAGTGAGTTTCTTGATGTCAACAAATATTCTAATGAAAAATGTTTGTGCAACTAAATTTAAAGACAATATAGGCACACCCTGAAGTGGATCTACATCAGTTTTGTTTTCTGGAAGTCATTTGAGATTCATGACTAAAAAGGAAAAATGCTATTTGTATTTCTAATAGGGTGGAAGAAGACGGTGTTATGTTAACAAAGCAAAATTTAAAAAAGGCCTTTTCAGATTTTAGACTTAAAAATCTTAATCAGAACTTTAGAATTAGATTAGCAAGAAATTTAAAAAGAAATAATTAAAATAATTAAATAATTAAAAGCCAGAGGACAATGCAAAATATTGCCATTTACCTTTATATTTTCAAGCAGGGATAGGTTCTGTAAAATACTTACAATGTACGAGCTTTTAGAAAGATTGGATAATTTGTTCAGAATCTGGAAATACTTTAGATTCTCAGAAAGTAATTTTAGAAATATTCACAAAGTCCATATATATTCAAGCAAAAGTGCATTAAAAAACTAAAGCTATTAAAAATAATTATTAGTTTGGTAGTAATGCATTCATCCATGCTAAAAATGCAGAGGCACGGATTTAACTCATGAATCAGCCTCTCAAACTCTTAGATTTGCTATCAAATTCTAAAAAACAGTTTTGATTAGAGAAATTTTCACAAAATAAAAACCATAAGAGAAAATAACAAAGAATGGTAAAAAGAGAAAATAAAATATAAAAAGAAAAAAGAAGAAAAGGGCAAGAAAGACTATAAAGAAGCAGTATCCAGATGCATTTTTATTGTGTCCTCTTGTTCTAATTTCCTTCCTTCATCATAATTTCCTTCTTTGCATAAGATATCCTTTCTAATATTAAGACCTGTAAATCACGTTCATTTTTCTCCCTTTTCAACAAAAAGTCCATAAGGGGTTTCCAGTTACTACTCAAGGTGATTATTGATTTTTCTCTAATCAAACAGATTAAATTTGTATTTGCTGCTAATTTTGTCATCTTCACCAACCATTTCTCTGTTAAGACTTGCAACACTGACCATATGTAAAGTTAATATTTATTGGCTGTCCATTAATCCCAGCAAGAAAAGTTAAAGTTTCAATTGAATGTTGTTGTTTTTTAAATCCTTTATATTACTCTATGTATTTCAACCCAAAATTTCTAGGTTTTTGTTTTGTTTTTACAAGTCCAGCAGATAAAATGTTATCCACATCTCCAACATAAATTTGAAAACTCTTCATACATTCCAGACAAATTTTCTGGATTCTTATACCAATGGTGCATTCATTTTATGAAAATTTTCTTTTAGATCATAATATAACTTAATCTAATCACATATTTTCCCACTATTTCATCAATATATTTTGTCTAATGTTCTCAGTCCATTTTATTATATACTCTTTCATTTATTCTTCCATTTCAAATTTTAATAAGCATGTATGTTCATCATTTGTACACAGTTCAACTTCAAATTTTGTCTCCTGCTGCTCAATTTCAAATGTCCTTAAAATATTTTCTTAACTGTGCATATGAAAACCACTGAAAACTAAATTCTCCTGCAGCTGATTCCTCTTTTGATTTCATTTCATCTTATACTTTCCATGTTCTTGTTCTAACAACTCTTGATAAGCTAATCATTTTTCTTTATGCATTGTTTTTTTTATCTAAAATCTTCTATTGCTAAAATTCATAAATATAGATTTGATCCCAGGCTAGGTTTATATCTGTTCCATATTTTCAATAAGACACTTCTAATACATGTAATGACTATTAAAGCCAACATTAATCTTAACGTTATTGTACCATAAAAAGCTATGAACCTTAGAACATGCTCTTGCATCCAGATTAAGCAGCAGACTGCAGCTATCAATCAAATTCTTAAACTCATTGAATAATGTACATATCTATATGTTAACCAAATGACTCTTTTGTTCTAATTATAATTAAATAATATAAATGGGGTCTTCAGAATACAAACCTATCAGTATAATTGATAAGTTATGATTAAGTATTTTGAACAGACAAAAAAGACAAAAGACAAAAAAGTTATTTCATATAGATAAATCTAGAGGAAATTACACTGTATTTTAAAAAGAACCATTAGCACTTTGCAACTCAAATGATGTGCTCAGCAAAGATTCAATGCAAACAGATGAAAAACAAAACAAAACTTTCCATATTGCTAAAGGCAATGTGCAAAAAATATAACATTATATTAGTACTAGTAGCATAGTCGCAAATAACTGACTGGGATTTCAGGGGAATAACAACACATCTTAGTCTACAGTATAACTAACAGCTCTACAGTTCTGTAACAGCAATTTTTAAAAGAAGAGAATTTGAATTTTTAACCTGGTTTTTCAAAAGTTTCACTGAATCTATAGGAGCTTATTTAAAAAAAAAACAAAAGGAACATGTCAAGGATCAATTTTTAAGATTAGTTATAAACTCCCAGTAAGCTCCTTTAAAAACATAAAAAATCATGTGCATGCCTCCAAACTAAAGGTAGTTAAAGTTAATTAAAACAGGCAATATTCAGGAAATAATTGTGCCTCAAGCAGAAACTATAAAATGTCCACAAAGTGTGCTACTTGAGTCTTATGAAAGTCTTTGGTGGAATCTGCTACATAAAGGAATTAAACATTTTGAAAACACCCAAATAACAAATTTTGTCCCAATTTATTAAACTGGGTATGTATACCCCCTTTTTCTCAAAGAATTCAAGATGATGTATGGGACGGAGATAATAATTGAATTTAAGTCATCTGCTGAATCCCATATCAACTAAGAACTTTAGCCAGAATCCTCCTGGTATCATATCATCCCTTTAATCAAGATTCTCCAAAAGTAAGATGATGGTGTTGGAGACAAGCAAACTTAAAATGCAGCAGTTCTGAAATATATAATCGAACTACACTCTCTACTCTCTCAAGAGAGAAAGTAGTCATAGCTGGCTATTTTAAACCTTGTGCTGTTTCTCAGCTATAATCCCTAGGTTATGTCAGGAATTAACAAAATCACCTAGTTTTGGTGAGCAATAGAGAAATTTGCCAGATTGCTCAGATTCCTTCTTACCATTGATCTCAATTGATACCTCTGAAGCAGTTGAGGATATCCTCAGGTTCTCTCTTCAACTCTAAGACTGGAAGGGATGAGGCAAGCCCTTTTTAAGGGGAGGAAAAATAGGTACCTCCTCTGTCAAAAAACTGGGGGAAGGAACAGAGATTTGCCAAGCATGGAGTATCTGTCAAGTGCTAAGAAATCTTGACCTGCAAATGGAGAAGTATCAACACATGCTCCTATAGATGACAATGTTACATTGCTCAGTCTCTACAACCTGTTTTCAAGAAGTAGCCTGCACCATTCAGTTTCACACATATTATAGAATTTAAATAATTTAAAGTTATGAAGTTAAAAATATATCTATAGGACAAAAAACCACACACACACACACACACACACACACCACCCCTACATTTCA